TCATTCTAGAATGAAAAAGGCATAATTTATATTTATTTTCTAATTTTTTATGGCAGTTATGAGGTTGTTCACATCAGCTGAACCCATACAGAGATTTGTTAGTGAAAATAACAGATAAAATATAAAGTTTTTTCTTTAGAAACGTTTGTTAAGTATCTAAACATTATAAAGATTTTGCACGTGAAATATGAAAATTTTCTGATGCATAAAAGTATTTTTAATTTTAAAATGAAAATGACTTTGCATGTTGGATAGACAATGTGCAAAAAGAAAAAGGCATGAGAAAAACATTGCTTAATAAACCTTAAGGCTTAGTAAAAAAAAATCTGATATTTTGCATTTGAAAGCCTTGTAATGTTTACTGATAATCTGCCAAATTTCATTAACATTTGCTTACTAATTTAAAAGTTATAGCATGAAAACTATAACAAGCACAAAAGAGTTACGAGGTTGGTCACAGGGACCAAGCCTGTGATGAAAGAGTTAAAACAGAAATAGACATATTCAAGAAAAATCCAGAAAAGTAATGTTCCCACTCCCCATTATGAGAATTAGCTAGAATGTTCCAGAAATAAAAATGTAGACATTTATTTCAACAACAAATTTTTAGTTCATTAGTGAATCTATTCATTGAATGAATACTTTTCTCAAGTTAAGTGTTAATGTTTTTTAAAATCCTAGATTGCTATAGTGTGTTGCACTGAAGAGTCTGAAAAATTGCAGTAATGTCCAAGACACTAGGGGGATCTGATATCATTTCAAAAAGAAGCATTAAGTTTCAATTTGTAATAAATTTATCAACACTGCCACTTGAATAAGGGTGCATATACAAAATGTAAAAAATGATTACAACAAATCTGTAATATCTATGTAGACCTTCAAAGCAATAAGTCATCATAACCTGGACCTTCATTAACTACTGAGATAGGGATCTTACACATATATAACGTTACTGTTTTTTAAAACTCATAATAAAGGTTAACTAAAAATGTGAAAAATATACACAGATAATTTTCTATGTTAAATACTTTTCCTATAATTGCAATTTTTTTAGTTCTCTCACAGGAGCATTCATCAGGCAACAATGTACTCAATGATTCAAATTAACTTATCTGTGAAACATTTTTTTAAAAGCAGGTGTCTAAGCAACAATACTAATGATAACTGATGTCTGGTATTAAAGTTGTTCACCATACAGAAAATGCTGAAAATGAATTATGACAAGTACAGAATTAATAGACAAAGATTAAAACTTTTAAATAAATTGAAGAATTAAAATCTTTGTTGTTGTATAACAATATAAATACTTTATATACTCTGTTGCTTAAAATTAT